CTACTAAATTACACACATAAAGGAACTCACCCTTGTTGAAATTCTGGTCCTGGGCAAAAACTCGACCAAATCTTCACGTAACAACTCAAGAGCCCCGCCAGCAAGACGAACCAATATGTCACTGTTATACAAGACCAAGTTCAAACACCACAACATTAGAATAAGGCAAATACCAAAAACATCCTACATATATGATCCAATCTTACTTGTAATAATTTCGGGAGGTACCTTCCGGGAAGCGAACTACTAAAAGCAAATTGAATCATCTTTACTGCCTCCAGAGTCAATGGTGTCTGAACAACAAAGGGAGGAGCAAGGTACAAAGGTTGTGCTTTCTTAGCTCTGGGATTTGCACATTCGAATGGAGAGACCACATACAAACTAGGCTTCAATTTAGATACACTACGTAGTCCACCTCCCTTTCGCCCCTTTATTGTTCAAAAACATAAAAACAAAACAAGTTCATTAGTAACCACACCATAAGTACAAATAATTAGAAAACTTAATAAAGTGTAATACCTTCACAGTCTTGGCACAACCATCATTAGCAGCAACACTTTCATCACTCAACAATACGAATTTCTCAACTTTAGACGCTTTCGCCTGCTTGCAAGGAGACTTTTTCACAACTTTGACAGAAGGAGATTCAGAATGGCTGTCATCTCCAATTTCCCCCTCAGCTTCTCCCCAATTCTTAACACCTAACCCTTGAGTCTTGACACATTCGGAGGTAGGAGAAATGGGTTCACTTGGTTTTTCAATCTCAGCCTTCTGATTGCCCTTTTCCCCTCTGATAAGCTGCTCCGTTGACAACAAAACAGCTGCAGAAGCTTTCACATTATCAGCCTCATCCTTCTGATCGTTCTTTTTCAACTCAGTAGGCTGCTCCCTTGACAACGGATCACCAATAGTTGCTTTCACTGCCTCTATAATGGACTTCACTTGAGTACCAATTTCGTCTCTAAAAGCCCGAAATTCGTTCTCCATATTCACAACCCGACTCATTAGCTCATTATCTCTGGAAGCAGCATCACCCATTGCAACTCTAAATTATTGCCTAAAGTTGTCAATTCTACCCTCCATGGTACTAAACCGAGCGTCAATACGCTCACAGAGAAGCAGCTCATCAACGTCGGGTTTTTGCCGTTTCCCATCTCTTTTTTCCCGTTTCCTTGCAGGTGATTTCAAACCTGCATCCTCAGCTGATCTTTTACCCGAACTGCTGGAAACCTATAAATTAATTAAAAAGGGAACCAAATGTACCATTAGCATGCTCCAACTCGTCAAAAGAATCAAATATACTATCAGTCTTACCACTTTTGTTAACAATAACTCCACGTCTCCGCTCCCCCAACTCATCAAATCCAAACTCCCATCAATGGTTTGGAAAATACCATTTGCATGCTCCAAGAATATTAACTACAAAAAAAAAATACTATAATCAACATGATGATTAATAATTACAAATATGTAGAAAGTAGGGATTAGCAATTATTTACCTCCAAAAACAGCAAGCAACCCGGTATATACTTTCTCCCCTCAGCATTATGGTCGCAGATGCATTTGACCAATTCATTGAAGCAAAACGATGCCCAATTCTTCTTCGGAATATCGGCAACATCGAGGACAGCGTATACCGAAGATAACGAAAAGTCATCTCTTCTAGTTGGTACTAATAACACCCCCATTACGTACAAAATAAACGTTTGAAGAAATAGATCGCCGCTATCTTTCATCTCCGACAACGCCTTCCGCATTAAGCTTGTGGAAATCGCCTGTCGGGCACAATCAGCTGTCGAATACACTCTAAATGGATTTAGTTACTCGGATCTTCGTCCCACTTCTTCACCATTCAAGATGATATCAGTACCTCCCTCAGGCACGCCCATAATTCGCTCGAAATCTTTGGCCGAAATATGGACTTTCAACCCATAAGCCTGAATTGAGCTTTCTTCCAGATTAAAGCTCTTCAAAAGGATCTCCAACAACTCACGTTGGAGCATTCTTCCTTTGACTTCAAGCATACGACCAAAGCCACATCTCTTAATGGCCTCTGATTGACAAGCCTCTAAATTTGAGACTACTGAGAATACTTTCCTAGGAGAACAGCGGGTGCTAAAAATTTCATGACTCTTCGTCTTCATTATAGAACAATTTTAGCAAACTGCAAAATTAAAACAACAAAAAAATTATAAGCATGCCTTGAAACCCGAATTATAAGCATGCCGAAGAGTACTAACAAAATACACAAAGCCAGAGTCGTCCACCACTGATCTAAAGAAGCAACTTTCAGTTTTCACACTTAAACACATTCGAGAAAACGTGGTTATGACAAAGTTTCATTCGAGAAAAGGATCATTTAATCATTCGGTAAACACATTCTCCAGGTAATGAGTTCAATCCTGGTTTTCAATATATGGCTTTTATCAATATTGAACAAATGCAAGACTATACCAGAGCTCACAAGCACACTTGCCTCGATATCAAGTTCTAACTACCAGAAGAACTGAAAACCCCCTACATCAACACCTGAGTACACTAATTAACCATGAAATCCGCCATTGGCATATATAAATTTCACCCAAAACACCCAGCTTCCATTAAATTTCACCCAAAATGCAAATTCTCACGGCCGTGACATGACCCGTGAGAAGCAAAGAGTAGTTTTCATATCCCAGACAATCTCACGGCTTTGGCTTCAAAAATCACGGCCGTTAAAATAAGCCGTGAAACTAAAAACACCGATAAAAATTTCACCCAAAACACCCAACTTCCATTAAATTTCACCCAAAATGCAAATTCTCACGCCCGTGACATGACCCGTGAGAAGCAAAGAGTAGTTTTCATATCCCCAGACAATCTCACGGCTTTGGCTTCATAAATCACGGCCGTTAAAATAACCCGTGAAACTAAAAACACCGATAAAAATCTGCCATATTCATTAAGCTAGCGAGCATAAGATCAATCTATTACTGAGCACAAACTTCAGTGGAGGCTAGTATAAGATACAGTGATCTGGAAACATATCAAGAAGCTAAAGACAAAGTTTTTTTAAAGTCTAACCAACCTACCAATTAATTTGCTAAAAACGAGACAATTTGATGATACAATCAACTAGTAAAGATTTCCAAACTCTACAGACTCACTCTGCCAGTATGAGAGAAGTACAGTTACAAAGACATCAAGATTTCAGGACCGTGCAGTTAGCATTTAAACATAGCAGAATCATGCATGCAGTCCATTCTGGAAATGACACTCAACCATGTTTCTCTCATTTATGCTTTTCCTTTTTCACTTTTATGAACTAAATTTGTTTCTGGACTGAATATTTGTCCTGCATTTCAAATTAAACTTTGTATTTCAAAGAAGAAGAGCTGGATATGCTCAAATCTGAGTTTCAAAATAATGGCTGTGATGCTTGTTGATGTATTCAGAACTACTATTTGTTTGCAATTATGGCTTTAGCTTATGGTTGTTCTCATTAGTCATTTTAGCTACCAGATTCATATCATATCTAAATCCAAGGCTAGTTCAAAAAACAGATTTCAGAGATTGTAATAAACAAACAAAAAGGTTTAATCTGGAAAATCAGACACCATGCCCCTGTTCTTTTCTTCTGTTTTGTTCTAAGGCTCCCTTCTACATCTAAACCCGCCCATGTTTTTTGGACAAAAATCATAAACCACACACAACTTACAACTTTTGAGAGCTAAATAACATGACCACGAGCATAGCCACTAAGCTTTCCATAACCCATGACACCACCATAAACACTCGCTCTATTTCCATCCAAACTGGCTAAAACTCAAGTCACCCTGATTTCATGAACTAATTCTTGACTAACACACTCAATTGCACCTTTCATGCAGCCAAGCAAGACCCTTCAATTAACATTCCAAAATGTAATCAACAAGCAACGGTAACGACACTACAATACCAACAAGACCAAATCAACTCTTCCAAAATTTTCTCTGCAGACTCAGTTTGAAGGCAAACAACAATCCAACTTGTCTCAAGCCAAACTGAAAAGAATCAAACTTTGAGTATGAACTTTCCTATTCGATTTGCCTCCATAAAACACAAATCAAGTCTCTCCAATCAAAAAGTTAAAACTAGCATGCATAAAGGAAGGAACACAATCGCTAGCTAGGTCAGATTTGACACTAAATCAGTCAATATATAGCTAATTATCAAGCTAAACACAAAGAAGATAGTACAAGGACATCGACCTGGTCAAAGGACATAACCAATTAAACTCATAAACCTAAAACGAGCATGGAATTTCAATCCCCCTACCGAAATGTGTAAATCTAGAACATCCCAACAACGAATGCAACAAATTCGGTCGATACAAATGCCCCCTCGAAGAATGAAGAACAACAGACTTCCTCTACCACCATTACCACCAAAGCTTCCCCACAAAAAGGAGAATCATTAACCACAAAAACAATGAATGCTGTGAATTCGTCCGATTCGAATCCTCCCACGAAGAAGATGGAAGAACTACAACAACAACATCCATCCAAAACTTCCTCACCAAAGGAAGCATCATCAACAACCACAACCACAACAACAACAACCACAACTGCTGTGAATTCTTCAGACTCGAATTCTTCTACCCTAACAACAGAAGAACCCAATGCTCCTCCTCAACAGAAGAAGATTGAGGAACAACAACAACAACAACAACAACAGCCTGCTAAGGATGTTGCTGAAACGGAGACAAATCAAGCACAACCTCAACAGCAAAAACAAGGTGAAGAGAAGGTAAATGCTGCAAATTCTCCTTCAAAACAAGTGAAGGAACAACAGGAACCGCCATTGCAGCTAATTATCAAGCTAAACACAAAGAAGATAGTACTAACCGAAAAAAGTTGCGGTGGAGGAGGTAGGTTAGCGGTCTTTGTTTGCTATCGATGGGAAGAGGGGGTTCTGTGCAGGGTCTTCGTTTGCTATCGATGGGAAGAGGGGGTTCTGTGCAGAGTCTTCGTTTGCTATCGATGGGAAGAGGGTCTTCGTTTGCAATCGACGAAGAGATGCTCGCTCTCGTCGTCCCTTGCTCGCCGCCTTCACTGTCATCGTCGGAATCCGGCTCGCCGCCTTCACTGTCGTCGTCGGAATCCGGAATCCGAATCGCTGCAATCGACAAGCTTCTTCTACTCGTCGTCACCCACTGCTCGCCGTCTTCACTGTCGCCGTCTTCACTGCTCGCTAGCTGCGTGGAGAGGATCGAAGGAAGGAAGAGGATCGAAGGAAGAAGGGTTTCGGCGGTGAGAAGAGGTGAGAAGAATGGTTTCGAAGGAAGAAGAGTTTAATTGGTTTCAGACAACCGGTTGTACCGGTTATCAACACACAAATAAAATAATAAATTAATAATTTAAATAAAATCTAATGGTTGATATATTTTGGACATGATCTAATGGCTGTAAATGTTTTATAGTACCAATACTATAAAGCACACTAAAATGCCTCTATTTGGTAACCACTGTAAGAATGCCAATTTCTATGCTAAAAGTTGCCAGCCTCCTCTATTCATCCTCTGTTCTTTTTCCAGTCGGAAAGAATGTGTATCTGAATGCATACATCAAAATTTCCCTCTAAATGCATACTTTAAATGTTGTAGCAAAAGCTATTGATAAGTGACTCGACTCTACTGTCACTCCAGGAATTGGCCAAGTGTAACCACTTCCTAAAGCGTAGTATAGCGGGTTTAGGTTTAATTATCAACCCGGGTCCTAGATCTGATGACTACTTAGTGAATTCTTGTTATCTAGCAATGAAACTGGAATGCAAGTCTAACTAACAAACTAACAAAGCAAGTAAACGGTTGTATTCAGGTTAAAGAGGTCACCCGGATATGGTTCCCCCTAGACTGCAGTTAAGCCGGATTGTAATTACCAAGTTCAGTTTCCATGATAGTTATACTGCGGAAGGTTCTTAAACAGTCTGAAGTCTCGACTAAAGGTCTTCAGACCCTCTCAATCTAAATCTCTAGCGGGCGACTAACCTCCACTGGAGTAGACAGATTGAGGCCCTAAGAACAAAACCTCCACTACCGGGGTAAATCCGGTACAGAATAGTGAGTTGGCTCCTCGACTAAAGTCACCAACTCCCTACCTTCAATCAAGGATACTCTATTAACCTAGGCAGATATTCTCATTCTAGGTTAAAGCAGAAACAACAGGAATTTGATCAGGATTCAAGTCATTCAATCATTAAAACCTCAATCGAATATAATCAATCACAGAATCAGTACTTGGGTTCATACAATCAAAGCCTAACATACAAATCTAGGGTTCTCCATACCCAGATGAATGGGAGAACTACTCCATGGAGAAGAAAGCAAAAGCAGAATCAGACACGGAATTCATACTGCGAAGGATGGATTCCTGCTTCTGGACGTTGATTGGCACTTCTCCAAGCTCAAGCTGGCCTCCAATGGTGTTGAAGATCAATCTAGGGCACTTGGAGACTCTTGTTCGTCGCTTTCTCTCTCTAGAAATCGCTCTCTTTCTCAAAAACCCGAAAATCCCCCCGAATTGTGGCTGAAATTTTGCTTAAAAGGAGAAAATCCCGACTCACACGGCCAGGGTGGCACGGCCGTGCAGCTCACCCAGTTGCCCGTGTGAGTCAAAACGCATCGTTTCATTTAGTTCGAATTCCAGGCTCTTTGCACGGCCAGAATGGCACGGCCGTGTGGACATCCCCTCTTGCCCGTGTTTGCTCTCGCAGAATATGGCACGGCCAACCCGGCCACTCGCACGGCCGTGTCGATCCTCTGCTCTGCCCGTGTGTGCTCTCGGCAAAACTCGCACGGCCAGGCCATTACTTCACACGGCCGTGCGAGTTTCAGGGCAGCCCGTGTGACCTCCCTTGTGACTTGTCTCGCGCCCGATCTTCACCCAATCGACCCCGAACTCGCTCCTAAACCTTCATTCACTTGCCAGGACCTGAAATATCACAAACAAGCACAACCTAGCGTGAAATCGGTCTAAAACACGAGAAACCACCTCTCAAACGGTGTAAGAACAGGGGTGAAAACATGTGTAACTAACGGTCTATCAAACTCCCCCACACTTAACCGTTTGCTTGTCCCCAAGCAAACCTAACTCAAACCAATGCAACTCTCCAGACCTCTATAGCAACAAACAACCCAGATCGTAGATAGAGGACTTCTTAGATCATTTAGCAGCTTACGAGGTCAACCGACGCACAAGTCATCTCATAGCTTCTTCGGCGCGTCGGCATCATGGCAAACAGTGAACAGAGGACAAATGAATCGTGGATGGAGAGATTCTCAAAAACAAAGGATCATGGACTCACATTTTTCAAGGTGCTCTATTTTCTTTGAAGATGGTTGGAACCCCTTTTTTTCTGTTTTGCTTGTTTTCTGTTTTTTTTTTTTTTTTCAAGGGTCCCAACCTGCTCTTACCGGCCATGCCAGGAGCGGATGTCTCGAGCCTCGTGCGGGGGAAAGACATGTAAGGGGGCTGGAGGTAGTAGGTGGAAATTGGGAACGAATTCCCGTCTCCCCTTACACACTTTCGCCCTATTCGCACGGGAGACGTTTATTTTGAAGCACATTTTCGAGCACCTGTTATTTTCAAAACATGATACAAGAGTCCATGACAGGCAGAGAATCCACAACACCACACAATTCAAGGGTCCTAAGATCACTAATTCACTCAATCAACCAACTCAATATGAAGAAGAAATGAGACTTCTTAAATGCATCGACATCCTCCATAGTGCTACACTACCTCCCTAGGTTGCATATCACTATAAAGACTGTCAATTCAAAGCATACTGAGCAGGCAATTGCAAGGAAACACGTACTTGAAGCCCTCAAATTTAAAATTTTGGACAGTGGACTAGGCTCCAAGCACACAAACAGATCAAAGGCAGTCAAAAGATAAACACCCCCCCCCCACACACACACTTAAGATCGACATTGCCCTCAATGGAGAAGAGGGAAGGGATAGGGAAAGATGTTACCGGTATGCACGGACTGCAGGGGACTGGAAACGGGCCAGTCGGGGCAAGCACAGCTAAAGGGGAACAGAAGAGCTCAAACACAGTATGTTAGGTTCAATGGTCAGCCCAATAAAATATCATCCAAACCAAAAGAAAACAAACCAAACCCAAACCGGGTTACAATCCGACTCAAAACACAAGAAAGAAAATCAAACCTTGGTGGGGTTGCCTCCCCACAAGCGCTTCTTTACCGTCTTTTAGCTGGACGCCAATTGCGGATACTCAGGGCGGTGCAGGAACAGGTGCCTCCAAGAGCGGATCCACGTCGCTCTTGAGGTACAGCTTCAGGTTGTGGCCATGCACCCGACGGATGCGGCCACCCTCATCAGTCAGCTCGACCTGCCCATCTGGCAAGATGCAGAAGAGCGAGTACCCAGACGGCCAGGGTGGTCGTGGTGCAGGAGGTGGGACCAGCTCATAGTGGTCTCCACTCTTCTTCCGTGCATGCTTAGCAACCTGCTGCTTCGGCCGCCACTCCTCCTTGAGCTTTTTGTTCGGAGGCGAGGCTGGATGGAGTGGCGGCGAAGGAATGATAGGAGGGTCCTGCAAAATAGGAGGTGCAGAAGGGTACACGACAGACTCGTGTACCTGATCAGACATAGCATGCACAGGCGTGACAGCAATCATAGCACAGTGATCAAACTCAGTCACAGAAAAAGTAGCCTGTTCATCCCCAGCACGCAAGATCAACTTACCATCATGCACATCAATTAGTGCCTTGGCGGTGGCAAGAAATGGCCTACCTAGAATCAAGGGCACATCCACATCCTCATGTATATCAAGAATAACAAAATCAACAGGATATGTGAATGCACCAACACCAACAAGAAGATCCTCTATGATTCCCCTAGGATGCACAATAGAACGATCAGCTAATTGAATGCTCATCCTAGTAGGGCTAAGTTCACCTAGGTCTAGCATTTTATACAACTTATATGGCATGACGTTAATGCTAGCGCCTAGGTCCGCCAAGGACTTTCCTACATGCATGCTGCCAATAGTAAGAGGGATAGTAAAACTCCCTGGATCCTTGCGCTTCTCGGGCAGCTTGTTCTGCAGGATAGCAGAACACTCCTCGCTCAGCATCACTGTCGAGAGATCCCCAAGTTTCTTCTTGTTGGTACATATATCTGTCATGAACTTGGCATACTTGGGCATCTTCGACAGTGCCTCCATGAACGGTATGCTGATATTGAGCTGCTTCAACATTGCCATGAACTTGGCAAACTCAGTCTCCAGCTTGTCCTTGTGTAGGCGAGTGGGGAAGGGAAGCTGGGGTACATGCTCCTTAACCACTGGTTGTGGCTTGGGAGCAGGGGCTTCTTTCTCCACCCGCACTTCTGCATCGTCGGCTGGAAGTGCTGAAGCAGGCAGTGGTTCCTCCTGTCTGGCCGGGACAGGATCAGCAGATATGGTCTTACCGCTCCTGGTAAAAATGGCATCCAGCTGCTGATGCTGGAGAGGATCTCGAGGATTTGGAACAGTGGTGGCAGGCAGAGTCTCCGGTGCCCTGGTAGTGTTTTGGCGGGCCAAGATGCCCACCTGGGTCTGCAGATCCTGCAAAATGGCACCCTGGTTCCTCTAACCTGCCTCCAGTGAGGCTACACTCTGGTCCAACCTCGTGATAGTCGCCTGAGTGCTCGTCATGAATGAAGCTAGAATGTTTTCCAGCTTCGTCATCCTGTCATCTGGGGCTGGAGCTGCTGCTGGCTCGGCAAACTGGCGCTGGGGCTGCTGGAATGGCTGCTGTGGAACTAGCCCCTGTCGAGCCTGGTAGGGCTGCCTCTGATGAAAACCACCTGCTGGTGCTGGGAAACCAGGTGGTTTAGTGGTGTTGCTGCTCCAGGCAAAGTTGGGATGCTGGCGCCACCCCTCATTATATGTGCTACTGTATGGATCGAGGCGCCTCGCATTGGCGATGAAGGCCAACTGCTTCTGGGGTGTGGTAGACTCCCTCATAGCCTGGCAGTCCTCCACTAGGTGATTGGAGCTCTCACACCACTGACACTGAGCAACTGGAGGTGTAGCCAAACCTCTGCCCAGAATCAGACTGTTAGGCTGCTTCAATGTCTGCACTAGCTCAGCTACCTGCTGCTCGAGCCCGGATCTGGTCTCCATGGCGTGCACACCACGGTCCCGGGACTGTCTGCCTCGGCTACCCTGTCCCCAAGAATGATCTCTGGCAGCCAAAGTACTGATCATCTGGTTCAGCTCGGGTGGAGTCTTGGTAAGAATATCCCCTCCTGGGCATAAAGACTCAATCACCCTCTGGCTATATGGG